GATATTTTCTCTTCGATATTTTTCCATTCGCTATTTTTCCATTTCTATATTTTCTTTTCTACATTTTTCTTCTACATTTTTCCTTTCGACATTTTTCCTTTCTTCCTTTTTCCATCCATTCAAATCAAGATCTGGAACTTTGGTCTCGAACTCTTTCCATATAAATCTGATAGTGAGATGAGCTTGTCTGCTAATGAGACAAACATTTCTAAGTGTAAAATCACTTTTGAGTCGGAACCATGTACATCATGTAGGTTCTAATTAGCTATGAATAGAATGAAACAAGTTCAGCCTAATACTTTATTACTGACCAACTACCATATAGAATACCATGATTTTCCTTAGATAGAACCTGTCGAATTGATCCAACTCTGAAATTTTTTTGTTAACTGGATCCGAAAAAATTTAGACATAACAGACTCTACTGTGAGGAACATCGAAAAAACAAAGTTTCGAATTTCGACTTGAAATTTTGTATAATGACATACCTTAATGAGAATAGTTTATTGTCAAAGTTTTAGATCTTTTGATATCTTCTATTCTAAGATACGAATGTGCTAAAAGAATGTTTTTTACGTCGGTCATATACAATGACCAATCTCGATGTCCTTATTTTAGAAGAGGCTCAATCAAAAACTCTAAAACTTTGACAATAAATTATTCTCGTTAAAATCTGTTTCTGTGCATGATTTAAAGTCAATATTCAAAAGTCAGTTTTGTTGAGAAAGAGCACAGCTTTCTGCTAAGAAATATAGTTTCTTGTTAGTAATAAGTAATTAGACGGCAGTCTCTTCAATACATTCACATCTCATTGGAATTTCCATGATTTATATAGTATCGACTCAAAATCAATTTGACAATTAGAATGATCTCTCGTTAAAAGACAGGCTAGTCTGATTAAGGCCGTCAATGTGGAGAAAGTTTCAGGTTGATATTCAAAAATTTGATTTTACCGTAAAAGTAAGGTGCTGCAAAAAAGTTATAGTTAAAAGTCGATATATCTTATATGAGTTTCAAATTTCATCTGTAATCTCTTAGGCTTATTTCTAGTCTATACATATCTTAGTTGTGAACAAAAATCGAATTGAAAAGCTTTTAATGAGTTCTGAAGAATCGTTCATCAGACAGAAATTTGAACTGTCCTTTTTTCAAGGTAATTTCTTCATTTTCATCATCAGACCAATGTCTATCATTTAATGTTTTACTTATTTTCGCTAATTTTGTTAACATTTGTACTTCTGAATGATTTTTATCATATGTATCAAATTGAAGTTGATTTGATTGTGAAAACAAATGAATACGTTGAATAATTAATTGTCCAATAAGTTGACCATGACGCCTAATATAATCAAGTGTTGATTCAAGATGCATACGGATACCATTTAAGACACATATAGGGTGTCCAGTAAGTAACTCCACAAAGAAAAAGTTGAATATCTTCATTACAACTCAACCAAACGGGCTCATTTTTTTACCAAGGATAGAGGCATGTTCACATTTCAAATCCATACGGACAAGGTTAGTGGGAACCTTTGCAAAGTATCACTATTGACCTCAACAAGAAAATTTTACT